GCTGCCTCCATGTCCCGCAGCGCGTCGGCGACCCGATGCATGTCGTGGACCTCGTGGGAGCCGCCGACCTCGAGCATGGCGCCCCTGACAGCGCGGGCCATGACCTTCCAGCCTCGGGCGTGCGCAACCTCTGCCATGTCGACCACGCGGCGCCAGCAGGAGTGCAGCGGGCGTGTACACGTATGCTCGCCCACATCCGTCCAGCACTTCGACTTGGCAAAGCAGAACAGCTTCGGCGGCCTGACGGGGCGGCCTGGGAGCTCCAGCCAGCGCCGAAGGAAAGGTGGGGGTCCCAGGCGCGCCTTAGCTCTCATCCAGTCGTCCACGTCTGAAGGCTGAAGTCCATGCTGCACCTGCTTCAGCAGGTGGAGGCGAAAGCCCTGGGGGTCCACGGCCCAAGCCTTGCCCACCTGCCTGTCGTCCTGCACCAACGCTTTGCCACTCTCAACAGCGTCGCGGAACGGCGCCTCGAGCAACTGCCATCGAGCCGGCTGTGTCGGCGCATTGAAATCTTTGAAAAACGACTTCCAGAAGCCACGACCTGATCGATGTAGTCGAGGATGTAGGCGAAGCTGCTGGGTCCACGATTGCCACGACGCAAGTACGGTAGATCGCACCTGCTGGGACGTCTTCCACCGTCCAAGCTGCCATGGCCCTGAGATAGCGTGGAAGTCGGGGTACAACGCCGCGTAGCCTAGGGTCCTGTGATCCTGGTCCTGGATGTCGGACTGGCTGAGGCCCTGGAGGACCTGCTTGCACGGCAGCTTGTCACGCCAGCGTTCTCCTGCAACAGTGCCTACCCTCAGGTGTTGCGCCACCCGCCGTCGTGCTACAGGTGAGCGGATGGTAAGCATCATATCACCAAGTGCCCGCCGCGCTGTATGAAGGCGACGGTGGGGCAGTGGCGGCAACTTGAGAAGCGGCAAGACTAGCGGGGGGGCTGCCACACCTTCAAAATGTACTCGAGGGACTTCTTCGCTGCTGTCTGACTCGCTCCCCCACGGACCATCTTCGGGAGGACCTCGTAGGCCGCGTAGATGTACGCCGCCACCTGGTCACGTGTCCACGAAGGGGGCATAGTGACGAACGGCTTCGGCATGGCACAATACATTAGAAACAACGGGACATGCTCATGCAGGTAGATGGGCCCAACACAACACGCCATCGCCGTTGCAAGCCGTTGATGTTCTCGATATTGCCGTACGTAGGGGCCTCGAATTTGAGGGCGCGGGTCAGGTTGACCAGCATCAGCAGGGTCTCGTACAGCTCCACGGACCGCAGCTTGAAAGACAGGTAATGACCACAGAGACGTCGTTCTGGCTGCCTGCCGAAGATACAGCGGTGGGCGGCGTCTTACCTTCGCCGACGGCCTAAGCAACACCCCACGGCCACGCTGGAGGCGATCAGCCTCCGCGTCCGCACGGTTGCACTCGGGAGCGACGGCCCTGGTGAACAGTGTCTCCACAGCGAAGGCCTGACTCTCCGTGGCCGTCGCCATGAGCGGGATCATGCCTACGCTGCCCAGGGGCCTGCGGAGTATTCCATATCTTGGTAGACGGCCATCTCTTGAATGAGGTCGCAGTAGAGCTCGAGCATGTTCCAACACACGCTGGGGGAAGCCTGGTTGTCGTCGGCGTAGCTGGGTAGTTTTTTCCACATACAACCCACTGTGAGAAAAGAGTGCGTGGACTAGACCAATCGTACCAATCTCGTGTCCTCTGAGGACAGCTCGACACAACAGACAGTACTCTGAATTCGAATCACACAAGTCATTCCGAAAACGCACAGGTAGAAGTCGAAGTACACGAGCCGCCCAGCGAGGAGGACGACGTAGCTCCAAGGCACGTCGGAGCCGCACGAGGCCTAGGGCCGCGAGCAGTTCCGCCATCAACTGCACTGCGGTGGGGTCAACCTTCCCATGCTTCATGTGCGTCGGGAAGAGACCCTCCAAGACTTCAGCAAGCGCAAGCTGAAGCGTATCCACATTCTGGGCGTCGGACTGTGCCCAGTACCACCGTTGAGGTTCAGGAAGCGCGGTGGGCCCTGGATGACGAAGTTGTGACCGCAACGGGTTCGCAATGTGCGCGCCGCGGCCGCCTCCTGGGACTGGCCACTGGTACTGACGTGGGGCCGACCCTGGGGTGGCCGCGAAAAACTCTGATGTCATTGAAGGGCGAGGGCCCAGAGGAACAGCTCCTCCTCGGCGTGAATCAGATGCTGCACCTCCTCCTCGTCCTGAGCAATCTTCTGGTCTGTGAGAGCCGACGCGGCTCTCTCCTGCTCCACTGCTTCTTGGAACAGGCGCTGGTTGAGCCATCGCCACCGTGGCGTGGCCCAGATGTCGTCTAAGTGGGCGTGGTACTCACGGGGGGCAGAGATGTAGCGGGCGATGGCCGTGTCGTCCGCGAAGAGCCTCAGAACCTCGATGATCTCCTTGGAAACAAAGACAGTCACGCCGGCCATGAACAGGGAAATGAGAATGAACGCGAAGCCTACCTCGGACAAGAGGACGTCGAGAGAGAAAACGTTCGTGCGAATCTACAACCACCGTTATGTCACCGTCGGCATTGGCTGGAGTAGTGCAGTATGGTGTCGGCGGAGAGACAGGGATGTCGTGTATACGGTGAGCTCTTCCTTTCAACTCCTCGTCAAAGAGAGCCGCTCCTCGGATCGGTCAGCCACGCGATCGCACTATGATCGCTGCCTGGGTGCGTCGCGAGCTCTCCTGCAAACTGTCTGAGACACCGCGGGCCCCTCTCACGGTTCGACCGAGGTGATCGAGTCTCGACTGTGTGTGTGTGTGCCCAGCCTCTCCAGGAAAGAGTAGTAGTAGTAGTAGTAGTAGTAGTAGTAGTAGTAGTAGTAGTAGTAGTAGTAGTAGTAGTAGTAGTAGTAGTAGTAGTAGTAATAGTAGTAGTAGTAGTAGTAGTCGTAGTAGTAGTAGTAGTAGTAGTCGTCGTAGTAGTAGTAGTAGTAGTAGTAGTAGTAGTAGTAGTAGTAGTAGTCGTGGTGGTGGTGGTGGTGGTGGTGGTAGTAGTAGTAGTAGTAGTAGTAGTAGTAGTAGTAGTGTCCCGTGGAAGACAACCGATTGAGCATCCGGAACTGAGCCATAACACCATTCCTGGAACTCCACCGCCGCGAACCACCGTTATTGTCGCGTCATTGCGAACCCGATTCGTGCCATAACACCATTTCTGGGACTCCAGCACCGCGAATCAGCTGACTGTTGTGTGCTGACATTCCGACATCGTGCCAAACACCATTTCTGGGACGTTGACCATGCGAATCCTTTATGCTGTTGCAAGCTGTGAAGACGAATGTGTGCGGCGCTGCGGCGACAGCGACATTTTGAAAACGAGCCGCCCTCCATCCGTGAAGCCCTTGTGAACTCTTAAATCGAATGTTCGCAGCGTGAAGAGACGCCGCATGTTGAACACGACTTGTCCTTCGTCCGTGAAGCCCTTGCAGTTCTTACAACGATCATGCGCGGCGGCGCGAAGGCGAGAACCACACTGTGGAAACGGCCCGCTCTCCATTCGTGAAGCTCTTGCAAACTTTTGAGGCGAATGTGCGCGGCGCTAGGCCGAGATCCACAATTTGAAAGTGACCCGCCCTCCGTCCGTGATGCTATTGCAACCTGTAATCTTCAATATCGTCAATGGTGGGGAGGCCTCAAGCTGAACGCCTGGCCCGCCTTTCCGACTGGACACGGGGTGCGAATGGGAGGAGTACTTCAGATGGACCAAGGATGGAGAAGGAGGAGGAAGAGCAGGAGGAGGAGGAAGAGGAGGAGGAGGATATGGAGGACGAGGATGAGGACGAGTAGGAGGATACGGAGGAGGAGGAGGGGGAGGAGGAGGAGGAGGAGGAGGAGGAGGAGGAGGCGGAGGAGGAGGAGGAGGAGGAAGAGGAGGAGGAGGAGGAGGCAGGAGAGGAGAGGGAACGATGGGGAGAGACGAGGAGGAGAGGAGGAGGAGGAGGAGAGAGGAGGCGGAGGGGAGGAGGCTGAGGAGGAGGGTGGGGGAGGAGGAGGACGTTGAGGAGAGGAGGAGAGGAGGAGGAGGAGGAAGAGGAGGAGTGGAGGAGGAGGAGGAGGAGGAGGAGGGGGAGGGGGAAGGGGGAGGGGGAGGGGGGGGAGGGGGGGGAGGATGATGATGATGATGAGGAGGAGGAGGAGGAGGAGGAGGAGGAAGAGGAGGAGGAGGGAAGGAAAAGGAGGAAGAGGAGGAGGAGGAGAGAAAGAGAGGGGATGAGAAAAGGACATGAGGATGGGAGGACGTATGACGAGGAAAAGGAGGAGGAGGAGGAGGAAAGGGAGGAGGGGAGGTGGAGGAACGGGATGATGATGATGGGGATGATGCTGATGATGATGATGATGAGATGATGATTATGATGATGATGATGATGATGCTGTTGATGATGGATGATGATGCTGATGATGATGATGATGATGATGATGATGAGGAGGAGGAGGAGGAGGAGGAGGAGGAGGACGTTGAGGAGGAGGAGGAGGAGGAGGAGGAAAAGGAGGATTAGGAGCATGATCAGGAGGAGAAGGAGGAACAGGAGGAACAGGAGGAGCAGGATGAGGAGGAGGAGCAAGAGGAGGAGGAGGAGGAGGAGGAGGAGGAGGAGGAGAATGGAGAAGATGAGGGGGAGGAGGGGGAGGAGGTGGAGGATGTGGAGGAGGGTGTGCGCAGATGCAGGGTCGACCGCTGGATGGCTGTGCGACCGTTGGAAGATTTGCGGCCGTCGGAGAATGTTCTCGTGGTCCACATCGTGCCCATTGCGATTAATGCTTGCATTGGCGTCCATGTGCACATGCGGGCGGCTGTGTTTATGTGGCGAGCACGCGGAAGAAGTGTGGATAAATGACGTGCCAATCTCGGCGTCGGTCGTACCGTTGGAAGTTATATCACGGCTTCACTTGCATCTGTGGTGTCTTGCCTCCTCGCGTAGCGTTGCCATTGGCCATTGCTGGCGTGGCCGCTTGGCTCGAGGCCGCGGGCACGTCATCGAAGAGTGGGAAGGTGACCTGCTCAACGAGTTCGTGCGGGAGCATGCTGGCGAAGCGTTCTAGCTGGACGCGGGCGATGTATGCGTAAGGCGGCGCTTGACCGTTTGCGCCTATCCCTCACTGGAGATTCGGATTTTCAGGGGCTCTCGAAGCGAGCTCCGTCTTTACGGGCCAGTCCAGAGCATGTTTGGAGGCCACGAGCGCCGCAAACCTAGGATGCTAACACCCGCCGGGCCTGACACATTGATTTGAGGCTCCTCTCATTGAGAGGAAAGGAGAAGGTCCATGTGTTTGCTTCCGCTGACTTTGTGCTGCTCTGTCTGTGCGCGCTTACAGCGC